AAAAAAAAAAAGAATCAAAGATACAAATATATTGAAGGAAAGAAAATGGGGCTGTGGTTTGAATGTTTGTATCCCGCATATTCATATGTTGAATACCTAATGCCCAAGGTGATGGTATCAGGAGACAGGGCCTTTGGGAGGTGATTAGGTCACTGGGGTGGAGCCCTCAAAATGGGATTAATGCCCTTACCAAAAAGGCCCCAGATCAGGAACAAGACAAGGATGTCTTCTCTCACTGCTTCTATTCACTATTATACAAGAGGTTATTAGCCATGGCAAACAGTCAGGAAAAAAAAATAAAAGGCCTTCAGATTGGCAAAGAGGAAGTAAAACCATCTATATTTGCAGATGACATGCTCTTGTATATAGAAACTCCTTGGGAATCCACTAAAAAAATAAGTGAATTCAGCAAGGTTGAAGGATACAAGGTCAGTATACAAAAATCAATTGTATTTTTATACACTTTAACAATTAAAAAATGGAATCAAAACAATTCCATTTGCAATAGCACCAACAAGCATAAAATATTTTGGAACAAATTTAACAAAAGAAGTGCCAAAGTTATTCTCTGCAAATTATAAAACACATTGTTGAAAGAAGTTAGAGAAGATCTAAATAAATGGAAAAACATCCAATGTTTATAGATTGGAAGGCATAGTGTTAAGATGACAATCTTCCCCATCTTGATCTCCAGGTTCAATGCAATTCTTATTAAGATCCAGATGGCTTCTTGTGGAAATTGACAAAATTCATATGGAATTTCCAGGGACCCAGATAGCCAAAACAATCTTAAAAAAGAACACAGCTGGAGGACTCACACTTCCCAATTTCAAAACTTACAACAAAGAAACAGTAATCAAGATGGTGTGGTACTAGCATAAGAATAGACAGATCAATCAAATAAAATTAAGAGTCCAGAAATAAACCCATATGTCAGCTGATTTTGAATAAGACCACTGTTAAAAGGTGCTAAGATCATTCAATGAGGAAAAACAGTCTTTTCAAGCAAACCGTGTTGGGACAACTGGCTATCCACATGCAAAAGAATGAAGTTGGACCCCTACCCCATGCCATAAACAAATTAAAACTCAAAATGATCAAAGACCAAATGTAAGAGCAAATGCTATAAAACTCTTAGAAGAAATATAGGGGAGAAGAAACACTTCCAATCTTCACAACCTCATATTTGACAGTGGATTCTTAAATATACCACCAACAGTATAAGCCATAAAGACAAAAATAAATTAGACTTCAACAAAATGGAAAACTTTTGTGCATGACAGGACACTATGAAGAAAGTGAAAAGACAACACACAGATTGGGAGAAAATATTTGCAGATCACATATCTGATAGGGGACTTATATGTAGAACATATAAAGAATTCTTACAACCCAATAATAAAAAGATAAATAATGTAATCTTTTAAGTGAGCAAAACACTTCCAAAAAATACACACATGGGCCAAAAGCACATGAAAATATGTTATTAGTCATTAGGGAAATGCAAGTCAAAATGAGATACCATTGCACCCATTAGGATGGCTATAATCAAAAAGTCAGATAATAACAAGTGTTGTCAAGGATACAGAGAAATCAGAACCCTCATACACTGTTAATGGGAATATAAAATGGTGCAGCAACTTTGGAAACAAATCTGGCAGTTCCTTAAATGGTTAAATATGGATTCACTAAATGACCCAGCAGTTTCACTCCTAGGTATCTACCCAAGAGGAATGAAGATATATATCCATACAAAAGCCTGTGCATGAAACTTGCTCATAGCAACATTATTTATAATATCCAGGAGGTGGAAAAAAAACAAATGTTCATCAACTGATGATTATATAAACATATTGAGGTCTATCCCTACAATGGAATATTATTCAGCCATAAAAAGGAATGAAGTACTGATACCTGATACCATGTAGATGAATCTTAAAAAGTGAAAGAAGCCAGTCATAAAAGTCCATATATTGGTATGATTCCATTTATATGAAATGTCCAAAATAGGCAAATCTATAGAGACATAGAGTAGACTAGTGGTTGCCTGGGACCAGGAAGTGGGCAGAGGGGAGGAAAGGGGATAACAGCTACACGGGTAATTTTTTTTTTTGGAAGTGATGAAAATGTTGTAAAATTGTGGTAATGGTTGCAGAACTCGGTGAATATGCCGAAAACCATTGAATTGTATACTTTAGGTGAATTGTATGGTATATGAATAAATACCAACAAATACTCAATGAAACTCTTATTAAATAACCACCATTACTGAAAAAGATATGTTAAAATCTACTACGACCGTAGATGGTCTATTGTCCCTACTCCCTCAAATTTTGCTTTTTGTATTTTGAGTACATGCTATTAGGTGCACACAAATTTAAAACTGTGATATCTTCTTAATGAATTGAGCACTTTATAAGTAAAAAATGGTTCTCCTTACTTTCAATAGTGCTTTTGTGTTGTAATGTTTGCAGTTTTTATTTACTTTTATTTATTTACACCAGCATTCTTTATTATTTAAAAACAAAAAAAGCAACAATAAAGCTTTTTATACATACATCTTTGTGTACATGAACAGGTACAGCAGTACAGTGAACTCCCTGAGATGCAACTGCTGGGTAGAGAATATGTACAGTTTAAGTCTGATAAGACAACTCTGACCTGTCCTCCAAAAGAGGCTGCAGCAATCACAACCCACCAAGCGTATCCAAGGGCTTTTACATGGATATTTTTAGAGTTTGTTTTGCTCTATTAAAAAGGGTACGAATGAGCCCATGCTCAGCTAATTTGTACTAAATTTTCCCATGTGGTGATCAGTCCCTGGCTGGAAAGAAGCGTTGCTGGGAAGACTCACCTTGCTGATCTCCGTCAGGGACATGGTGATGCTGTAGAGCTGGTTCTTGCTGGTGCTGGCAATCAGGGTCTCCTCTGAGGGGCTGAAGCACATGCAGAGGACATCCTGTTTATCAGACTGACTTGGCTCATTGCTCTGTAGGTCCACAGGAATCTGTCCAAGATGCAAGAGAGATATAAGTACTGTCCCCCTGTGTCAGTGTGTCTGGTTCTCTCAGATACTTTTAGCTCACAGACTCTCAGAGCAGCACAATTCCTGGGATCCTTCTCAGATGTGGAGAAGGGAGGGCTGAGTCACCTCTGTTTCTGCGGGTTTTGTATTCACCTTTAAGTGATTAGTGGCCGGATAATAAGACAGCGACAGCGATGTAAAAATGATCAGTCTATACACGTCAACTAGAGCTCCCTTCTGAAAACAAGCACTAGTCTAAATGCAAATTTCCTGTTAGTCTAAATCTTCCCACCTGCTGGAAGCCCAGTGCAGGTGCCCACCTGCACCATGTACACGGGTGTGTACTTCAGGGCAGCAGAGGAGAAGGTGACAGGACAGAGAAAAGGGGAGGGCCACACAGTCCTGCCGGCAGTCTCTAGAGGGCCTGTAGTTCCCAAGCAGTCATTATAAAATTAGATTTCCTCTTCCCTGCTATTGCTCTTCTTCTATTAACAACTTCTTGAAAGGCTGGCCTGTACATCCCATCTCCAATTCCTTACTACCCACTCAGTTCGTCATTCCTTATAATTTGATAAATAAAATTTCCTCCCACTGCATCATTTACTGAAACTCTGCTGTCCTTGTGAACATCAGAAATTTCCGTATCACTAGAGGCAGAGGCCCCTGCTCAGCCCTCCTCTTCCTGACATTCCTTGAGTCCGTAGCAGTGACTATGGCACTGCCTGCCTGGGGTCCAGGACTGGGCTCTCCTGCTTCCTTCCCTGTGCCTGGAGTCCTGTCTTCCTGTGTACCCCTAACCCTTTATGATAGTCAATTCCCACTGCCTGGCCAGGACAGCCGGGGCTCTGGGAAGCCTTCTCTGGGCTGGATGGGCCGATATTCCCTCAATGTGCCCAGAGCACTGGGGAGTTCCCTCTGCTGTCACATTTATCACACTGTGTAGAGCAGAATGGCAGCCCGCAGACCAATGACCTGGTTCTGCTGCTGTCTCCCAGTGCTTGGAACAGTTCCTGACACACAGCAGGTGCTCAGCGAACGAGCAGGAGTTGCCTTGCTGCCCTCCTCCAGAGATATGAGGTCGTTGGAGAAAGGGGCCGTGTCTGACTCATCTCTCTCAAGCTCTAAGCACAGAGTGTGGCACATGGTAGATGAGCAACAGACATTTGCTGAATGATGAGTGAGCAGCCACTACTTCTCAGTGTCCTCTGCTGGGCTCTCACCCTGTCTGTTTCTCACTTAGGAAATGCTGATTTGTTCTCAGTCCTCCTTGTTTTCCTCTCTATTTTATCTCAGAGATTTTTACCTAATAAGAGGGTTTCAATGAAAACAATAGTAGTGAAAGTAGTTACAACGGCAAGTACTTAAAATAATGAAAATAAAGCATCAACTCTGCCAGCCACAAGCTAAGTAAGCACCGTATGTGTACATATTGATCTCACCCCAAAGCCTAAACTACATTTCCTTCTGTTTCACCTCATTCTGGCCTTTGGTCAAATATCAGCTTCCTCAGCAAGGTCTTCCCAGCCATTCTCTATAGCACAGAACCCTCTTTTGCCCCCTGTCCCTTTCCTGGCTTTATTTTCTTCCCAGAGCTCATCCCCACATGACAGTCTGTATGTTTTTTGTTTGCTTCCTTGTTGATTGAGCTCTAAGCGCAGGCTCTTAGTGTATTTGCTTCCCTACTCTACCCCAGCCCCTAATAGAGCCTGGCACATAGGAAATAATAAATATTTAAGTGAATGAACAAATAAAAGAATGAATTGCATTCTAGGCAAAATAAACTCATAATTCTTCCCCTCCGTCCCCACCCAGTTGCTCTGACTCCCAGTTTCCCGTCTCTGGCATCTTTTCCCAGGCATCCAGTCTCCAAGCCGAGGCACCATCTCCGGGAGCTCCTGAGGTCTGGCCTCCCACATCTACTTAGGGAAAGTCACATAGACTTAACCATCACAAAGGCTCTTTCCTTTCCCACTTTCCCTGCTACTCACCACTGTGATCCAAGACCCCACTACTTCTAGACTTCCAAAACAAAAAAGCCTCTGAACTGATTCCTAACCACGGCAGTAACTACTGCCATTTATTGAGCACCAAGCACAGCACACAGTGATTATATATAGAGTTATTCTTTTGATAACTACTAGGGATGGGCTATTTTCTCTATGAAGAAACAAAGATTTTCTAGATTCAGCAACTCATCTCAGGTCACTCAGTCAGTAAGCGGCAGTCCAGTCTGACTCATTCAGTGTATTCTTAACCACTTCCCATCCAATGCCTCCAAGTCACCCCCACCACATATCACAGGCAGATGACTTATTTTAAGTGCAGTGCTTCTCCACACAAAACAGCTGCCTGCTGTCTTAACATACACACTCCTCAGGCTGCCATGTGAGATCTTTCACCAGCCTTAGCTCCCATCTTTCCCTTTCAAGTGACTTCAGCCCCTCTCCACTGGGAAGAGAACATCTCCCACACACACCACAGTACCCACCTCTCCAACCCCCCGCCCCCTGTCAGTGCTGTCATTGCTTCATTTGTTCCTTCCATCTGGAATTCCTAATCTGTTTCTTCCTGTCAAATGTTATCCATTCTCTAAGACCCCTCCTCAAAGATTACTGTTAGAAACCTTCCTGGTTTTTCCCCAGCTGGATATGATCTCTCTCCACAACAGTTTGTATCACTTATTCCACAAATATTTCCTGAATGTTTGCTATGTGCCAGGTAGTATGTTTGACATTAAACATCTATTTATACCAGATAATACAATTCTGTGTGAACACTAAGCTTCAAAGAGTAAATATCCTTCTCTCCCAGAATTCAAATCCAGATCTTCCTAATCCTAAACTCCAATTCTACCCACCCATCCTAAAACCTCCCTCAAGACAAATGGCTCAAGTCCCCATTGCTGCTCAGTGCTACAAGCCCCGCTCCTCCCCATCAAACTCCTTATCAGAACTCTGCTGCTGGAGAACAAAAGCCAGTAGGTTTTGGTTCTGCCTCTCCTCCTTACCCTGATTTCCCTGCTCTCACGGTAAAAATCCTTCCCTTCCATCTTCTCAAACAGTAGGACTCTCCCTGGCCCAGCAGAACAGATGAATCCCTTTGAATAGGCTGCAATGGCAAACACCCGGGGCATCGTCAGCTGGCTGTGGCTACTGCCCACGGTGACTTGTTCATAGGAAGGGATTGGGGAACTGATGGTCGGAAATTCAATCAGGCTAGAAAAAGAAAATAGCATATAAGGTTTAGAGTCAATTCCAAGAAGATGAATTCGGCTAGGGATGGGAAAGGGCTGACTATGGGCATGGGAGAAATCACCCAGTAAGAGCCTGCTTCCCAAAGCCAAAATGCTCCCCTTTGACCTGGGGATGCTACACAAACTCCAAAGAAATACTGGAAGGCAACACATTCGGCAGGCTCACAACCCTGCAGGGTTGCTATTATCGCTCTTGTTATCATTACCATCATCCCCATTTTGTTGTTTAAAAAAAGTAGCTTAGAGAGGGACTGAGTTTTCTAAGTTCATACAAGTGGTAAGTGGAATAGTTGAAATTTGAATTCACGTTCCCATTTATTTCCTTCTTCCCTTCCACATAACAAATATTTATTGGAGTTATACTGTGTTAACTCTGTAAAACTATGGCAGATTAGAATAACACAGTTCCTGCTCTCAGACGCTTATAATCCAGGGGACAGGTGAGAGGCATGGGAGCAGCCAGCAGGCAGGGAACAAGGGTTTTTTGAGGACAGTTACAGAGGAGGTGCACCATCCAAGATGAGCAGAGGCTGAATGATCCATAGGACAAACAGGAACATGTCAGGTATGTGTGTAGGTCTAGGGGAGTGGGGACAGGGGGAACTACCCATGACCAAGCCCAGAAGCAAAAGTGTGCACAAAGCATGTGTGGTAGACAGAGGCAGGAGCCGATGCTCTGGAACAAGGACATGTCCAGATGGGCCATGGTTCAGGCGTTTGGGCTGTATTTTTTGGAGTCCACTGAGGGATTGTAAACATAGCAAACTGGGGGGCTGAGGGACTTATTAGGAAGCTCTTAACATAATCACGAAAAAAAGTTGCTGTCATTGGCATGGAGAATGGTGAAAATGGTGGGGTGACAGTTACTGAGGAAGAAGAATCTACAGTGTGCTGTGTGGTTGCAGGCTCAGGCTCTGGAGTCAGACAGATCTGAGTTTGAATCCTGACTCACCACCTAACAGTGCTGTGATCTTGAATGAGTCACTTAACCTCTTTGAACCTCAGTTTCCTTATCCATAAAAGGGGCATGATAATAATATGTACTATAATAGGGTAAGGCTCAAGTGAGAATATATATAAAGTACTTAACGCAGTATCTAGTACAAGTATGGTACGTTCCAGTATGTGTGAGATATGACTACTATTGGTTGTAGTAGAGGTAAGATTGATCTGAGCCTGCGCTGTTCCTCATACGCTTCTGTCAGACTTGCAGATGACATTTCCCTGCACTTCTTTGCTAGTCTGTTGCCTCTGACTGAATTGTAAGGGCCTTGAGGCTTTGTCCCCAGCACCTAGCAAGATGCCTTGCACCCCAAGAGGGCTTGGTGGACATTTATTTAATTGACTCAGGAAATTAAGCAGCCATGAGAAAATGTTATTTTTGAAAATCTGTAGTTTTGAAGGCTAGACATATGAAAATACTTATAAAATGAAGTCAGGTATAAAAAGCAAAAGAATTGTATCTAGGCTTTGGTCATAACTGTAAAATTTGTGCTTGAAAATAGATGAACAGGAGAAAGGCAGAGAGAAAATGAAGAGAGTTACTTTTAAAGGTAGACAGCTCCTGAGTGATTTTTAAAGAATGCTGTGTTCCATGTAATGCTATTCGTATGATGAGATTATTTTTACAAAAGAACCAGAGGGGAGCCATTACCTCTCTGATGCCTGGATCTCCTCCAGGTTCTTTGTCTCCCTGGCGGGCTCCCTGACCATTATGCTTGTCTCCCAGCGCTGATCTCCAGATTCAAAGAGGAAGAGCTTGCCTGTATCAGTGCCAACAACAATCCTGTCATCAGACACCCAGGTATGGGCCAGATAGTTCTGGGGTTCTCCTCTCTGAAAGTTGGTTTGCTTCAGGGTTCCTCCGGCAAAACGGAGCAGCTTAAATATCCCATTTCCAGTGACACAAACTTGAGTGTTATCCTGGGGATTGAAACTCACCTGGAAAATGTGAAAGGATACAAGAAAAGACTTATAAAACAAATCCTGATGAAATTAATTCCCATTTTATTAATACTTATTCAGGTAGCTCAGAGTATCCTTTACACATCACTAAATCATATAATTTTGATACCCTATTTGATAAAAGCACAGATCTATATTCATTATATTTGTAGAGCCCCTGAGTTTAAAACTAGGAAACCTACAGAAGTCATTTTACAAAGGCCAAGAAGCAGGATAAGCAGGTCTTGATAATAGCCCAACACTCTGCCAATAAAATTAAATGAAGGCTCAGCTAGAAACACAGAAAAATGAGTGTCTGGCAGGTTAATGTGTCCTGTCCAGGGTAAAGAAACCACATGTCAGTGACTGCTATGTGGGCTTCTACCAACTGAGCTCCCTTCATCTGTACCCTCATCCCAATGTATAGTGACAGGCAGTCAACCTGCCACCCCCGTGAGATGCAACTTGAGGGGATTTGACTTTTTTCATCTCTGTATTCCCAGTGCTGGGTACTTGTGGGCATCTAATACATGTTTATGTACTGGAGGGGAGGCGCCCTCTGCTCTGAACAAGGGAGCAGCATCAGGCCTCACCACGGCCTAGATGAAATAACCTTCCAGCTCTCCCTGCCTTTGGTCTGATTCTGTGATCACCAAGCAACCTTCTGATTACAAATTTCACCTCCCAAGTTCCCAGGGAGGAAATACACTGGATAAATGATGTGAGTGTTCTGGTTGTGATGTGCTGGTTTATACACCAGCCCCTCACAAAAATAACTGAGTGTATGCCTGAGATGCCAACTAGCTAATACCTCTGAACATGAGCAGACCTGAGTTCTTGAACTTGTAAAACTGACTCCTAGATCTTAGAGGGAGGTGACTGTGCCAAGAGAAAACCTCCTGGAGACTCACTTACTGCCTAAGCAGTCAGTCAGCCTCCTCATGGGTCTTCATTTTGCCCTCAAGCCACAACAGAAGATGCCAGGACCAGGGACAGAAAGTGAGTTGAATCAATCCACTGCAGGGCCTAACCTGTGAAAGCCATCTGGGCCAGGTAAAGAAGAGGGGTGCTGGAGTCAGGCACTCCTGGCCCTGCTACTCACTCCCTCTGTGATCTTGGGTGACTGACTTAACCTCTGGGAGCCCCAGTCCCCTCATCAGTAAAATAGGGATAATTATGCATACCAGATCTGTTGTGTGACTAAATTAAAAAATGCATATTAAGAAATTAGCACTGGTCCTGCAACAAGGAAAGCATTTGATAAAAGATAGCGCTTACTGTTTTTTATAATTTGCACAATACTTGGTTGCTGGGAGGTACCTGGTAGACTGCGTTGTTCTGAGTGTCGGTTCTAAAGATGGCCATTACTTTCTGCTTTTCCCACAGCCAATAGACAAGATTTGACTCTGGAGGTGATGTCTGAGTCAACAGATATTTGGAGTCTGGAGAGAAAGCCATGCTAATAAATCTCTGAACTGGGAAATCAAAATTACTAAGGATTTTGCGCTTCCGGCAAGGAATGGATGACAGTTCGTAAATGGTGATAATGGGTTTTTCTTGTGCGATCTCAGAAATAGCGAGGTATCGCCGGTTGGGACTGATGGACAAGGCCAGCATGCCCTGACTCTTTTCTGAGCCTGCAAACAGAGGGAAAGGATAATGAGGGCAGGCCATGCTTTCACCAAGATTCAACATGAATAGCAGTGGCAGTGCTGACTCAATGGGAGAAGGACACAACCAGGTCACTGGCTAGCCCTGCAGTCCCTTGGTACAACTATGTCTGGGTATTATGAAAATGACTAGGACAGACACCTCACTGAGGCCTATGGGGCATGGTGGGTGAACTGCAAGCAGTGGGATATTGCTGGAGCGTCACATGTGATCCACGGGTCATCAAAGGTGGGTCTAGAGGGCTGGAATAGGGTCAGATCATAAAGGCCTTTATGCCGTGAGCAGCCACTACTCGAGACTCTTCCTCTAATTCCAAGGCTGGGATGCTAAGTGCTGGATTACTCAGCTTCCTTTGCAGTTAGGCTGTCTATGTGACATTCTGGCCTCGAGACAGATGCAGAAGTCTGCTGGATTGGCTTTATGGTAAAGCTTGTGCTTTCTTGAAAACCAGAGACAAATGATTCTATCCCCTTTTCCTGGAAGATAGAGGTAATATCTGGAGATACAGCACTCATCTTGTAACCATGAGGTGACAAAGCATGAGAATAAAAATTGTGATCTAGAAAGCAAAGGCTGAGGCAACAATTACAGTGCAAATACTTTATTTGAGTAATAGATACTTTATTGTATTTATTAAATGCATTCAGGGCCATAGTATGATTTTCATGGGCCCTACCTAGGTAAGTTTGTTTTCATAGGCTCCTTTTTCCATTACAAAATGATAAAATTATATTTAATGACTGCATTAATATAAAAAGGAATATAATCGAGGCTGAATTCATGATTATATATTCATTATTATTATGTTCATTTCCCCCAATTTAAAAATAGATTAAAATTAAAATATTTTCTTGGGGCCCTAAAGTATTGTAGGCTTTTGGTTCTGCGCCTGCTGCACCTCATGGATAAGTCTGCCCTGATACAATCCCAGCACAGGGAGGGTGAGGAGGGCAGGGGAAGATGTGCTAGAGAGTGATACGATGGGTGCATGCTGCTGCTTCACAACAGGCTGCAGCCAGTCCAGAGCATGGGGGACTGCTCTGGAAGGGCTGCAGGGAGTAATTGTGTCTCAGAGAAGAAGCCAAGTTTTGGGACACCGAGAGCCTTGCACAAGAGTTTGGACTTTACCAGGGAGGCAAATGGGAAGCCACTGAGAAATTTTAGGAAGGGTCAGGTGTGGGTTGCAGAAAGATCTCTCTGGCAACCATAAGGAATGGAATCCTGGGTGGAAGGAAACCAGTCATCAGGTTATTCCAAAAACAGGGATGTTAGCAACGAGCAATATGAAGGCAGTAGGGGCAATGGGAAGGCGAGATTAGAGAAAGGCCAGGAGGTAAAACCAGCAGGATGTACTGATTGCCTGGGTGTGGGTGGGAAGGAGAGAAAAGAGCAATAAATGACATTGAGGGGTCTGGTTTGGGTGACACCTGGGATGGCACACAGGCTGAGGGAGTTATCTAACTAGCTGTCCCAGCACTGGTTACTAATGCTGCCTTTATGATACAGTAAGTTCACTTACACACACGAGTGGGCTAGTTATGCCAGGGCCACATTATTTTTGTAATCATAGCTGCACACTGCACTTGCTTATTTGGTCAGGTAGAGTCTTAAGGAACGAGAGGGAGAAAAACAGGGTATAACGAATTGAATTTTAGACACACTGTGTGTGAGGTACATACTGTGAAACATTCAGGTTAAAAAGACCAGCAGACAATTACACGATTTTAAAGCCTGGGGAGAGGGCAGGGCTGAAAATACGGATTTGGGGTAAAAGTCACAGTGGGAAGTTAAAACTGAGCATAGATGAGATGGTCTGGAGGAGGCAAAGGAAAATCTCTCACTCTCTCCTTTGCTTTTGTCCTTCCCATTTATAGGTATTCCCTGCTTGTCAAAAGACTGTGTCACACCACTTTGCTTTTAGAAAAGACCCACATTAGTACCCTTTTCCAGTACCCAAAAGAAATCTCAAGAGGATTTTCATTTTAACGGGAAGTGAAAATAGTGTTCAGCGTTTGTTTTGTAGCAAGCCATTACGGAGGCGGCATGCACACTGAGCAGTGAGCATGGCGCCACCAAGCTCCTTCCCCCAGAACTACACTCAGCGTCTCAGCACCAGGCACCGTAGCTCTGAACCTAGGAGAACCTGTGCTTTATCTCATTTGTGCATCCCATAACAAGATGTGTCCTAAGGTATCACAAACGCGTAAGAGTGGCTATTTTTTCCATCTTCGAAAGCTCAAAAAATTTTCCTTATAAATAAATGGTAATTGCTTCTTTGCTCTATGCCATTTCAGCTTATGAAAGGATTCATGGGAATGCTCTTTCAGGGAGCAGGGGAAACCTGTGCATAGTCTTGCTCATTTGAATACACACTTGTGTCCCCTACAAGACTGAGCACTCCTAGAGGGCAAGGGCCATGGCTTTCTTGCTTATTCACTCATTTGCTCAGCAGGACATGACACCTAATGGGTGCTTAATATAGGTTGACTGATTGCAGAATTTGCAAAATACTTTCACATTGTTTCAGTCCAGTTGGTGACTGACTCCTCCTTGAAATATTTCACCTCTTCTGTATATTTCTTTCTATCCTTTTTGCAACTCCCCCGAAGTCTCTTTGGCTGGCTCTCCTCATTTCCCCAGCACTAAATGTAGGAGTGCCTCAGAGCTCATTCTTTAGGCTTCTTCTTTGACTGGGATAGTCTCTCCCCGGGAACCTAATCTATTTGAATGACTTTATGTTTCACCTGTATGCTGATGGCCCTCAAATTTCTATCACCAGCTGGGACCTCTCTCCCCTGAAGCCAGACCCGAAGTCAAACTGTTTACCTAAGCTCTCCACCTGCATGCCTAGTAGACATCTCAATCTTATCGTGTCAAAAACTAAGCTCCTGATGCTTTCCACAAAACCTGCTCCTTCTTCAGTCTTTTCTCTCAGTTATCAGTAACTCCATCCTTCTGGTTGCTCAGGCAAAAATTTTACTTCTTTTCCTCTTCTACCCTACATCAGGTATATGAGGAAGTCTGTCACCTAAACCTTCAAAATATATCTAGGATTTGATTTCTTCTCACCACAGCTATTGCCTGCCACCACCCTGCTCCAAACCATTTTCTCTCACCTGGTCTCCTGCTTTCTCACTTGCCCCTCCTTAAAGCTATTCTCTATACAGTAGCCAGAATGAACTTGTTGAAACCTAAGTCAGATCATGTTACTCTGCTCAGAAGCACTTCATGGCTTCTTACTTCACTCAGAGTAAGAGCTTTGGACTTACAAAGGCCTGTTACTTCTGTCTCTGACTCTTGCTCCCTACTCCTCTGCTCCACCCCAGTCACACTGGCCTCCGTGCTATTCCCCTAACACACTAAGCACCCTCTTAGCTCAGAGTCTAAAGGTTGAGAGCAGAAGTATAAAGCATAAAAGAGATAATTAGGAGAATATATTAATCATCTTGGGGTAGGGAACAATATCTTAACAAGACACAAAAAGGCAAAGGTTGATAAGTTTGATTTCATTAAAACTAAGAACTTCTGTCCATCAAGATGCCATAATGAGGGAGAAAATATAAGCTCTAAACTCAGAGAAATTTTATGCAGAATAAAGTGTGCCCATAAATCAATAAGAAAATTACCAAAAAAAACCACACCACAAAACCATTGGAAAATGGGTTATAGACTTGAACAAGGCATTTCACAGAAGACTAAATAGGAACAGGCCATAAATGTAGGAAAAGATATTCATCTTCATTAGTAACAGAGAAATGCACACTAAAACCACAATAAGATACTCTTTCTAAATCATCAGACTGGCAAAAAACTAGGAAGCTGGACAATACCAAGGGTTGGTGAGGCTGTGAAGAGTGGCAACTTTCATGCACTCCTGGTGGGAGTGTAAATTGGTACCAAATTACTCGGTAATTTTAGCCCTGGCTGTGTAACCTCTGTAAAAGTGGATGAGCTTACATGAATGCAAGAAGGTTTATAGTGGCATAGTTGGCAATAGCAAAAAACTGCTGTTTCTCAAATGCCCATTAACATTAGAATGGATGAATGTATTTGAGACATTAGATTTATCTGATGGATTACTAAATAGCAATAAAATGAACTTGGTTCATATGTACCAAGATGCAGGAATCTCAAAAGCATGGTGTTGAACAAAAGACTCAAGTCAGCATACATGTACTATGATTACACTTATATAAAGTTGGTAAACAGCAAAAACAAAACTGTATCTTACATAAGGCCCCACATATCTATGGTAAACTATATAGAGAAATAAGAGAATAATTGTAAAGTCCAGGATGGAGTATGAGTATGTGTGTTTGAGAATGCAATCAGGGAGAAATACCGGCACTGCTATGTTCTATATCCTGTTCTGACTGGTGGGTTCACATTTGAAGATCTTCATTTTATTACAGTTCTTGAAATATTACATATATGTAGCATATGATCTTTTATATGCATGTCATAACAAAGCATGTTGAATGCAAAAGCACATGGCAAGAGAGAATAAAGTGATAGTGTTGTAGAAATCATATATATCACTGACTGGACAAAAGTGAACAAAAATAAATGTAATATACTAATGGTGATTTGTGACTTGGTATAAAATCTCCAGTGTATTCATCATTTATGGCATCAAAAGGTGCTGTAATGAAGGTGGTACACTCTGAAAAACTGAAACAGTGGCTCTGGGGCTGAGAAAGACAATGATATTGAAGATGCATGAAAAGAGACTATTTACAATAATTATTTTCATTAAATCACAGTGAAAAAAAAGTACTTTTAAATGAACATTTTACATGATTTTTAGCGATGTCTATGTGATTGATTAATCTATATATTAAACAATGCAACTAGACATGTATTTCTTCTACATTTCTGTAAGAATATTCAAGTAGGCCAAAAAATTTTCCTTCCATTCACCGTGTTGGAATTATGTGGTTATATCTGGGCACATATGGGTTAATGTGTCAAGATGTAAAGGGTTTTACCTGGAATGAATTTTTGCCATTTCTGATCCACATTATACTTCACACAGTAATTTCCTGAAGGAAATATAACGATGTGTTCATCGAAGAATAGGATACTGTTAGCCACCTGACATCGAAGGCCAAAAACATGCACCGACTGCGCTACCACGGTCGACATGGAGCCGGGCAGAGGAGCTCTGCGAAGACGGAGCCAGTGGGTGAGCGCGGATAAGCACGCCTCCCCGCCCCGCCCCGCCCCGCCCCTGGCCCCGCCCCGGAGCCCCCACCACCGCGGCTTCCGCTTCTCCCCTGTCCTTTGCTCCCTCACGGCTTCCCGCTCCTCCGAACGACCCCCAAAAACCCCCTCCCACCTTTTGCTTCTTGTCTCCGGGTCTCCAGACCACGCACGTATCCAGGGGTAGTAAACCCTACGGAACGCACCGTCGCACTTTCAAACGCGGAGCGGTTCCTATAGTAACTGAAAACCGGAAGTGTTGTTCTGCTGCCGGAAGCGGAAGTCCCATCAGAAAGTTCAGCCGCTGCAGTGAGTAGCTGGTGCTGGGGTTTCGAGCTCACGTGGTGGCGCGGCGTGGAATTGGGGCTGAAAGCGAGTGGGCCTGAAGGCAGGCCGCAGTGGAGGAAGGCGCTGTTTTCCAGCCTCGCGGGCCTCGGGTCGCTTGGCTCCCTAGGGTAGGCGTCTGCCTGCGCGCTGCGAGATGGACACTCCCCCGCTTTCAGGATCGGACTCAGATTCTGATGATTCTCTTGTTACAGATAGAGAAGTAGGTGTCAGTCGAGCTCGCGGGACTGGCGCGATAGAGGAAGTCTCACTCCCTCGCTATTGACCACTGATTGTGTCCTGCAGTTGCAGGATGCGTTTTCCCGAGGGCTCCTGAAGGCAGGCCTCAATGTGGTGCTAGAGGGGCCGAAGAGGGCTGTGAACAACGTGGTGAGCTCGGACGCCTGGTCGCGGGTGCTCGGACGTGGGATGGGCACAAGGCACTGGTGTGCTTGGGAGACTGAGTTCTCGTCCCTGGAAAGACGCCACCCACCGGGGGCCAAGAGTTATACTTACCTATCCAGGAATTGGGGTTAGCATTTTTATCTGTTGACTTATTCCTTTCTTGTGAACTCAGTGTCTGAATTTTCTAGAATGGTCTGAAGCAGTGTTTAGCAGAATTCAAGAGGGATCTGGAATGGATTGAAAGGCTTGATGTGACCTTGGGTCCTGTGCCAGAAATAAGTGGACCTCAGTCGACAACTCAGAACAAGGATAAGAAAGCTGTTGATCCAGAAGATGACTTCCAGCGGGAGATGAGCTTGTATGTTTATTTTCAAATGTGGGAGAAGTTTTAGGTCCTTGTGCTAGAGAGTGGGGAGTAGTGGGCCCATACTCTTCAGAAGTTATCTTAAACTTGGGGGTAAGGAGGAAGACACTTTAGACTAAAAAGGAGATTTTCCCTGGCTGAGAGAAGAGCCCCTTGGTACACCAGTCACAATTCAGTCCAGTTTATTTTTAAATTTTATTTTGAAATACTCAGTTTTAAAGTTTTGTGTATTTAGTTATTGGAACAAAAATTTGCTTATGGAAAGTTCCTAATGATTTTTTTTAATGGCTATATAAGAATTCATACTTGGTATTTGTAAGATAATAGGTACTTTTAAAGTGGTGATTCACTTAAACTAATTTATTTTGAGCAATACCCCTCCCACCTTTTAAAAAATGTGGACAGCTAAATGTCTCCTAGATACCAGTAAATGAGGTTTTATTACAGTTTTTGTTTCTGCTGGTGGAAGTCAGATATTGAGAGTTCTTCTGACCTTGGATAACTCATGAGAGGCAGTGAGAAGGAATGTAAAACTTTGCTCCTTTAGCTTACTTCACACTGTCCTACGTCCTTAGCTACCGTCAGGCTCAGGCCGCAGTGCTTGCAGTATTACCCCGCCTCCATCAGCTCAAAATCCCTACCAAGAGGCCCACTGATTATTTTGCAGAGATGGCCAAGTCTGATCAGCAGATGCAAAAGGTAAGAAACAGAAAATTTTCTCTGGAAAGCCGAGGCTTTGTACTTGTGTGTTCAGGACTTATGGCTTATCTCCTATAATGCTTAAAAAGGGACGTGGTTGTCAGAGGACAATTATTATCTCAGTTATCTACTTCAGACTCATGCCTCTGCTAATTAGATAAATATAGGGATGACTTTTTCCTAATTAAAACAATTAAGGGGAAGACAGGTACTATAATGAGAGTGTGGTCCCCAAAGTACAGATGACATTTTGCATTTCTTAGCTGGCATGGTCATGATGTGGTGTGTAGAAAAACAACCAGTTCTTGTCCTGACAGTGCCAGGCAACAGTGCTGTAACTTGTAGATTGTTCCTTTTCTCTGAGCCTTAGTATTGTAAAATGAGGGATTAACATATAGCTCAGATGTAGTATAGTTTAAAATTAAGTAGGAGTGGTTCTCTTTTAATTTGGAAGGAAGAGAAAGTACTGCCAAAGTCTAATACAAGATCTATTTAAATAGTTCCCTTGGCTCTCAAGCTGACGTTAGGGAGCTTTTATCTCAGTAGTACTTAGGGAACTATCTAGAGATGAGCCTAGACATATCTGTGTACATTCACATTGACAGCTTTTTCTTTAACTGAAATGTGTATGTTTGATGGAAAAGGCTAGGCACCTGTTACCTATTTGAGTTTTTAATGTTTATGTGGTATATTGGAGAAGGGAAATGAAGCTGCACACCGGTCTAACCTCAGTCTGTGCACAGCAGGGATGGGAAAAGGTAGTTTCAACTGGCAAAACTAGTGAAACAAACAGTACACCAGGAGTGGGAAGGTAGCTTTCAAGTCCTGTCTCCACCACTTAGGTATGTATTAAGGATGACTTTTTAGCAATGAAGGGGAGAATACTATAAGAAGTGTGGTCCTCAAGATACAGTTGGCTCCACCCTGATACTTTTGGTGTCTCGGACAAAGTGCCCAGCATCTGGGCCTCGCTGTTTTTATGTGTAAAACACAGGGCTTGGAATAGATGATTTACAAGGGTCCTTTGAACTCCACAGTTTGCAGAGCTAGGAATATCTCTTTCCTGCTCCAGTGTGCCCTAGTTAGTTGTCATCCCAGATTCAAATAATAAGCTGACAAAATTTGGTGTTTTAGATTCGACAGAAGCTGCAGGTGAAACAGGCTGCCATGGAGAAGTCTGAAAAGGCTAAACAGCTGCGAGCACTCAGGAAGTACGGAAAGAAGGTGAGAAGGAAAATGCGTGGGAATAGAATGAGCCGACTTTGTTTGCCAGGCTGGATTGCCATGGTCTGATGTGGTTCTGTGACCGGTCTGTTCCATCATGTGTTTATTTTCTTGTTGTGGGGCTTGTGTAGTAGTATCGATGAGCAGTCTTTCCTTGGCACCAGTGTGTCCCCAGCAGTAGTGTGGTATCTAAGCCAGTCATTTACCTCTCTGGGCTTCAGTTTGCATATCTATATAGTGCTGGGTTGGGTCCAAACCTGACCTCAGGGCAAAATCACCCCAGGGAAATTTTTCAACAGATTTTTAGGCTTTAGCATCTTTAGGAATCTGTGTATGTTTCTTCTGTTCCCCCAGAGTTTCTCAGATAATTCCAGTATACATCCTAGCTTGAGAATCACTGGCCTAGATAATGTAAAGTTTTTGAAAGAATCATATTGTTGATAAGGACTGTATTAAGTCTTTAAGGAATAATCTCATATCCAATTTTAGACAAAAGACGGCACCTGTGTGTTTGGGCTATGAAAGTCTGAGTTCTAATGTAACACCAGAGCAGCCATACCATGAAAACTTTTCTTGTTTTTTCTTCTTTATTTCATGGTCATCTGAGAAAGCAGATGACAGGAATTAAAGTTAGGGTTGTGTGAAGAAATGAGTGTGAGGAAGATCAGCATGGGTGTTAAAAGTTTGTCAGCATTTTGGACATAAGCACTTCTGATCTGGGGTGCTGAGCTGCTGTCCGCATTTGCAGTCATTTCACTGAGAGCATCTCAGTGGAGGCAGAGTGGATTAGCGCCCTGTCCTCTGCGGAAGGGCTGCTGTAGCTTTATTGGATTGATCGGTGGATGGCTGAGATCAACTCAAAGACATGGGCAATTGGTTTAGCATAATTTATCAGAAAAAGAAAAATTGATCTGGGCTTGTTAGCTCACTGTTTGTAATTTGAGGAAGCCTCAAGGCAGTGGTTCTCACCTGGGGGCAATATTATTTACCAGGGACATCCTACAATGGAGACATTCTTCTTTGTCACATCGTGGTGGGGACTCTAGCGAGTAGAGGGCAGGGAGGCTGGCAAACTACCTGTGAAGCACAGCATAGGCTTATCATGTCCAAGCAGTTGGTAGGGTTGAGACTGAGAAATCCTGCCTCAGAATATAAGCATCTCCTTTTGTCCTTAAAGCTTTTTGTGTTTTTTGGGGGAGATTGTTTTTTCTGTTAGTACTTTCATGCCTAGTAACAGTAGGCTAAATATTTAATTGGCCCAAATATAATTAATGGGGAGAATTGGATGTAGACCTAAACATAATTTGCTATGGTTTTGTAGGCAGGGTTGTGTAATGCATAAGAGTACAGACCGCTTGGGAGTGAATTTCTGCTCCTCACTTTCTCCCTGTGTGACTCGGACTGTTGTCAGGTCAGGGGTCCCAGATGGTGAGGATGGAGATGCCCCCCAAAAGCAGGCACCAGAGACGAGGCTCATGGCACAGGTCTAATTTATTGAGGCAGGGTTACAGCTTATATAGTGGGCTCCTTCCTGGTTCTTGGAACTACACCACTCAAGCAGCCACCAATCACAGTGGCACTAGCTAACCGCGCTATGGGGGAGTAGGGTAGGAGAGGGCAGGTCTCCGTGCTCAGAGCCTGTCTTCCAGGTACACAGTGTGCTGTGACCTACTCCGGTGAGGTGGGTGTTCCCAACCAGTGGGCCTTGGGGCTGGGGAGCTCAGTAGTCCTGGTCTCTACCCATGCCAGGTCCCACCGGTACCTTCACCGTTTTGGTCTGGACATAGCTCTGTTCTCAGGTGTCCCTGAGGAAGGCTATGAAGGCAGCTGCTGCTCGTTGTCTACCCACATTGGACAAGTTACTTAACCACTCTGTGCTTCAGTTTCAGGGGTGATAAGAATTTATGTTTACTGGGTTGTTGAGAAGATACCCTGAGAATACCTAGAGCCTAAGCATAGCTTTGGCACGGCTTTAACATTCAGTGGTGCGGGTGGTATCACAGACCTGTTACCGAGAGAATGTAGACGCTGGCAGTGATATTTTAGGATGGGATTAAACGTGTGTGTCTGCATTCTAGGTGCAAACAGAAGTTCTCCAGAAGAGGCAGCGGGAGAAAACACATATGATGAACACCATTAAGAAATATCAGAAAGGTCAGTATCTCTCTCCTAAAGATAACGAGGAGCAGGGCTACCTGCTAATTCTAACACCTAGTGCTCTGGAGCCTTGATGGATTTGGCACTATTGGACTTAAGGTTTGGGAATGGTGCCGGGAGCGAGAAGTGCATCTTAAAATCAATTCAGTAAGGAGCAACCTTCTTTTGAAATTTAAGCTTTTAAAATGCAATGGCACTGATCAAAGTACTTCTTCACTCCAGGCTTCTCTGATAAACTGGATTTCCTTGAGGGAACTCAGAAACCTGGTGCACGGGCCACGAAGGAAGGAGCTAAAGGCCAGCAGATGAGAAAGGGGTACGAAGTGTTTTTCTTTTGTTTAGTGGTGTGTCCTGGGCAAGCAGTTGACCAGTATGGGATGGAAGGACCTCCCCAAGGAGCAGCTGCAGAGCTGAGTGCGTGATGCCGCCTGCTGCAAAGGCTGACATGATGGGTCCTTTAGCCATTTCAGCCTTTGACAATTAAAGTGAGGTGATTTAAAGATTTGGCACATTTTAAGTGAATGCTCAGTAAAAGTCGATTCCTCATCTCTCAGTGTAATGGTTAAGATATAGAACTAGGGTTCTGATCTGGACCCTGCCACTCATAGGAGGGTAGCTTTAAGCAAGTTGTATCACCTCCCTAAATGTTAATTTCTTCATCTATGAAAAAGAAAATTTTATGTGCCTCATAGTATTATGAAGATTAAAAGGGATAATTGTTGGGTATTATTGTTCCTCTTTTTGGTTCACCTTTACGCATTCCTAGATACCAGACCTGGGGGGCAGTGAGAAATTTCTGTATAATACAGTAGGTGCTGTGATAGCGGCATTTAGACAATAGTATAGAAGCACATTTTAGAAATGTCTGACACAGTCTGGGGATGGCTTCCTTGAGGAGAATCCCACCTGAGTTTAGATCTGAAGGATGAGTAAGAACCAGGACAGGAGACACGCAGGTTTGGGGAAGAAGGAAGAACACAAATGAACAAAAGCATGGAGAGGAGAATGGCAGGCTTATATGTGAGGAACAGCAAGCCTTTGGGAATATGGTGTGAACCAAGGAGTCGTGAGGTGTAGCTGGAGGGTGACCTGGGCTGAGTTACAAAGGCAGCGTTTCTTTGCCTCTTTGAGAAGCCTGGGCTCTGTCCAGTAGGCAGTGGGGAGACGCTGATGGGCTTTACTCAAAATCACGAGCAGGTCATGTTTGTGTTTGTAAAAAATAAGTTGTATGTGTGTAAATGATGGACTTGAGGAAGGCAGGGAAATTGATGTGGGAGCTATTATAGAGTCCAGAAGCTATTATAATGACCTGGAAGTGGTAATGGAGGTAGAGAAGAAAAAAGTGAAGAAATTAAGTGGTAAAATTAGCAGGGCTCAGTAATTGAGAGCTGTAGAGATTAAGGGGTGTAGTACCACCAACCTCCAGTTAGGGTGTGTGTATGTATATATATATATATATATATAGGAGGTGAAACCAGTCTAGAAGAGAGATGACATGTGATTTAGGATATGCTGAGTTTGAGATTGCTGTGGGTTGACCAGTTTTAAAGTTACATTTGAATGTCAACTGCATGTAATATTCTTGAGAGGAACAGAAACAGCTGGGGATGATACAGCAAAATTTAGTTAAAATAGAAAGCTTTCCAAAGATAAGTGGTGAGCCACAAGATGTATGTGGATCCTTTCCTTGTTCTTGCTTTCTTTCCTGGCTCTTAAAACCATAAATAGATGAGCTTGCCTGGGGAGTTTGTAGAGTAAGGATGTAGGGCCAAGGATGAGATTCTGGGTAACAGTAGTGCCTAAGGGGCTTTGCTTAGACCAGCTGAGGGTATTGTTGGCCTTAGGACTCATTAGGATTTGCAGTGCACAGGTAACCTGTGAACTGCCTTTATTCCAGGCCCAATGCCAAACGACGCTATAAAAACCAAAAGTTTGGTTTTGGGGGAAAGAAGAAAGGCTCCAAGTGGAACACTCGTGAGAGCTATGATGATGTATCCAGCTTCCGGGCCAAGACAGCTCATGGCAAGGGCCTCAAGAGGCCTGGAAAGAAAGGATCAAATGTAAGTGAGCCAGGGGGGTCAGGTGAGGGGCCAGATCAGCCTCCTCTCTCACCTACCCCTACCTGCCCCCTTTCTTTCCCTGTGTATCCTGACCCTGAGGCAGAAGGTCAGGCAGCTGTGTGACCACATGTGTTATTTCTTTTTCTGTAGAAGAGACCTGGAAAACGAACAAGAGAGAAAATGAAGAGCAGAACACGCTAAGCAGCATCTCTGTATAAAGAACCAAGAGAAAGGAATGAAGGCTTGGGATTTCATAATGCAATTGGATCCATTCTGTTGATTTATTTTTGCAAGAAATTTTTCAATAAACTAAGGAAAATGTTCAAAGAGACATCTACTCTTGGTTAAAAACCAAAAATGGAAAGATTTCGGAGTTACTTCTACATGTTAAATAGTACTGCTATTTATTGATGGTAATTTAGACTTTGAGTCCAGATTGCCTTCCTTATGATAGATGAAGATTTAATTTATATGTGCTCCCCCCTGGTTTCTCTTCTCTGTATTCCAGAGCTGTATCATGATCTTAGATAAATCAGTAATCAGTATTTATATCATTATGATTGTTTAAATACCAATTAGAGCTAGATGTACTATGATAAAATTTCCTTTGTGGTTCTTCCTTGAGGTAATTATCACCCTACAGTTTTCTTTGTGCCTGATTTTCCTTCTATGTCTTTTTTTCTTAGATGCTTCGTCACTTTATCCATCTTGTAATTTTCCTGTCACAGCTGTCACCCTGTCTCTTCTAGACCATCTAGATTGAATCCACTATTTCCTGGGTCCCGTATTTTCCTTTCTTAGTTTAAATCTTTTGTACACCATTTTCTAGTACCTTCATGGGAAAGAATGTGGAGGTGAACGTTTCTCTCTTGTATTTTTGCAATTACCTTTAGTCTGGCTGGTGTGAATTTTCTGGAGAATGTTGCCAGCACCACTTTGTCTTGCAGCCTCTTGGGCTGCCGTTGAGAAGTTGATGCCACTCTAGTTCTGTTTTTCCTCTGGAAACTCCTCTTCTCCCAGCGATCTGAAATGCCATGATGACATGCCTTCATGTGGGCCGGTGTTCATTCTTTGATTAGGGTATTTGGAAAGATTCAGGTTCTTTAGTTCTGAGAAATTATATTTGATAATCTCCTTCCTATTTTCTTTGTTCTAACTCTGGAATTCCTGTTAGTCACATTTTGAACATCTGATGATGATCTTCTAAATTTGTATTTTAGTTCTACTTTGGAAAGATTTCTTTGATTCTTTTTTCTAATCATTTTATTAAATATTTATTTTGGCTTTCATTTTTTATTTTATCCCCCAAGAGTTCTTTATTCTCTAATTGTTCCTTTTCCATAGCATAGCACTCTTACTCTACAGAGGTAGTATCTCATCATGTCTCTCAGAATATGAATTATATAGTTTGGGTTTTTTTAAAGCGTTTTCTTCTGTTCCCTCATTCTGTTCTCTGCAGTTTCTCCCCTGCCATTCTGAGCTCCCTTTTTCACGTTGAGCCACGTGGAAGTCAGTGCATGGACTCTGGGGCCATACTGCTGGATTTAACTCTGGCTCTCGGCTTACCTACTCTCTAACTTCAGCAAGTTCATTTTCCTTGCTTCGTAATCTCTATACAGGCATGATAATGGTCCTACCAAATAGGTTCTTGTCAGCATTGAGTTAATGTGTGTGAAATGCTTAGAATATTGCCTGCCTTTTAATAATATATATGTGCTTAGGATTATTTTGATGGGGTGGCTTTCTTTGATGTCTGATGAGCCTTGGTGGTACATATTTGAGAGGCACTCTCTTCGAACAAGCCACATGTTCGAAGGTTGGGTGTGGGTGGGTAGGCCATGTTGCATGTTGGTTAATAGTTTACCTGCCCTTCCTCTCTCCATTCCAGTTTAGGAATTGTACTTTAAAGAAGCTAGAAATATTTGGGAACTATATATTCCTAAGCAGAAAAAATAGTTTATTTTCACAGTTTCCTTTCTTGTGGCATCATTGGTACATAAAAAAGGATGTTTCTTGTTTCCTTAGTGAGTTTCTAGTACAAAGAGAATGAATTCAGTTTTTGTAAACTAATTGTAAAAAATTCTGAGCAAACTCATGTTTTCAGAAGACCAAAAAGTATTTTATCCTGACCTATTTTTTTGTAATCTGTACAATATAAGTGAATGAGTAATACATAATAATTCAAATAAGGAGCCTCAGAATCGGAGACTTTTAATTGGAACAGATTGAGGGTTTTAAAAAAGAACAGAGGTTCACAGCAGTTCACACTGGTATGGCAAAAGGAAGTTATTAAAAAGGATTTGAAAACTGTACCTTTTTCCTCTTTTTTGTATAGCAAACAGAATCACTGTCCTTAATTTCAGAGATACACTTCATAGAACCCACATCATTTCCCCTCCCATTCTAGCCCTCAAAGTATAATCAGATTGTAGGCAGCATTGGCCATCACACCGCTTTAAAATGCAATTCCATCCACTGAAAGATGGAACCTCGCAGCTCCCTACACTGAGTATAAGCTTTCTGACTTTGCATAGTTCCAGTCTGCATGGATCTCACTTTTCAAGGTGCCATTAAGTAATAGCAATTTCTCAACTCTGTTTACATTTCAGTTACCAAAGTATTGTATTTTTAACTGAGTAATTGCGGAAAGCAGAAACTTTGCTGCTAACTTTTTCGTCCACAAATCAATATGTAATTTGTATGCACAATATGTATGCACAATCAGATGCATAATGATTAGTGACCAGCCATCACTTTGAAAGTCTGTGGGTGCCAGGTGCTGGGTCACCATGTCTGTTCACACACAGATGGCAGTGTGGTTGTGTTGCTTCCTGGTCTCCCAGCGATAAATCCACACGGCATTTTACAACAGTAGGTAATTGAAAGAGTTGACCAACAAAGAGGAAAGTGCAGCAGAGAAAATAAGGTTGGATGTAAAGTTTGAACCAAAAGCATATGGAGTTGGAAACAGCTGCTGTTGGAGAGCCTAGGTAGGCAGGACGAGAGAGCGAATGCGGACTTCCCAGCAATATACTGAGGACCAAGGGTGAGGAGGCAGAGAACTTCACATCAAAGGGACTCTTGGAGATATTTTTTTAAATTGAAAGTACAAATGATACAATGTTGTAAGTGAATCCAAACTTAGAAAGGCGTGAGATGGTTTGCCAAGTGTGGCATAGAAAAGACTTGCTCTATAGCAAGTTGTTCAAAAAGGCAAGTGCTGCTTTTTATGTTCAATACACAAAAATTTTTCAGTCTACTCAATATTAGTTACTGCTTTTTCATTTTCTTATGCATTTAACAATGGGTTTTTAGTAGTCTGACAAAATTTTTAAAATGTGACATCTTCATGAATTTGAGGAAAGCATAGAAAAATAGATTAGTTGATATGCAGAGATACGAAGTCTAATTTTATGAGCTAGTGTAAATTATATAACAGATTAGGTCCCTGGTCCCATTTCCTCACAAAGCTGGTAGTTCTGGAAGTGCTCGTGTCCCTGTACCCACCCCTCATCCGCCTTCACCTCCTTCCCAAATTACCAAGAAAAAGAACCATTACTTTGGACTCCTGATGTATCTAAAAGTGCACACACAGGCAGTCCCCACTTTACACAGTAGTGCAGTACCATAAAAATGACCTTGCTGAATCCATGCAAAGCTATCTTAATTTTAACTTTTTTGAAGGTCTGGAGGGGAAGGGTGGCCGGAGGCTCCATGCCATCTTCAGGCATGCCACCCTCCTGCCACCTTAGTGTGCTCACCAGCCTGGAAGCTTTCCAAACCCTGTAAATTTAGGGTTTTTAATGGAGGTCTCACTATGCAGGCATGACTGACTACATCATTGATCATAGGTGAGTAGCTCAATCTGCAGCCCATTTTCCCTCCCCAGAGTTGGGGTGAGGCTGAAAAGTTCAAGTTCCTACTTAAGGCTTGGTCTTCCTGGCGAGCAGCCCCCATCCTGAAGCTATCTAGAGGCTGCCAAGGTTGCCTCCTTAGAACGAAAGACACTCCTATCACCCCTTCACTTAGGAAATTATAAAGGATTTAGGAGGCAGGAACCAGGGATAAAGCCCCAGTATCTTTCACAAGTTGTCCCCTGGTCTTTGACTACAGATCCCTTATAGCAAAAGGATTATAATAGTTAAGAGATACCGGCACATTTCTAGATCCCCATGTCTAGATTTCTAGTCATTATAAGGCTAGTGCATCATTGAACTGTATGAATGTGCCTCCCAGGGCAAGGCCACTCAGGCTTGTGGGCTTCTTGGTCTTGTCAGGTCCCAAAGGCAGGAGTAACCTCAGCAGTACATGGCTTCACCTTTGCAGGCACAGCTCAGGAACAGCCAAGTGGAGGAGATGCACAGAGCCGGGTGGAGGGAGCACCCTGCTCTCTGGGCACACCACTCGCCCAGCATCTGCATGTGTTCTTCACCTGATGTTCCCTGGCTCTTTCTTTATAGGACCTTCAAATGAGTGAGTGAGTGAGTGAGTGAGTGAGTGAGAGAGAGTGTGAGTGAGTGAGAGTGTGTGTGTGTGTGTGTGTGTGTGGTGGGGTGGGGGGGTTCTTTAGATCTGCTTGGTTTGTTCAGAGAGGACCCACCAGTTTCAAGCCCAGAGTAAAAATGCAATATATGTGTGAGTAAGGGGCTCAACCTTCCTTTCTCAGATATTCATTGATTGTATACAGCCTCACACCTCACTCCTACCCTGTGTTTACTTAGTGTCCCTGAACCCTCGCCTTTCCCCATTTTTCCAAGAAAAACCTCCAGTGTGTGAGATGTTACATGCCTGCTGGTGTGCCTCGAGTGGGACTCCCTGCAGACTCCCTACCAATGTCCATTTCCATTTGCTGCCTCACTGCCCTCTGTCTGGGCTCCTGAAACCTCTCTCCAGAGTTCCGGGAGGTGTGGGCTCTATGCTGGGAGGTATCCCATTCAGCTCGCAGTTTGTGGTTTCTCCCACCCTCTTCCATTAGCTTTCTATCTTCTAAACATGCCTGGCGTTTTCTTGGTTGCTAGTTTCTTTCCCAATCTCCCTGTTGTGGATTCATACCTTTTTCTTGTCCTTTTATTATCCTTTGCTGGGACCTGGGAAGGCAGAGGGATGTTGATTTGCCATCTTTAACTGGAATTCTCTCACTCGTTTATAAGATTAAGGATTTGAACCAGTGGACTTGGGCAGAAAGGAGAAATGGGAGACTCATATAGGAAGTCAGACCTAAGCTTTAAAGCAGTCCTTCTCTATCTGGGCAGCTGCCACAGAGGGCACTAAAGACAGGGCTGGCACTGCCGCTGGTGTACTACTTGCGGCGGTCGTCCTCTCCCAAGCTCCACAGTTTAGCCTTGTATAGGGTGACGTCACTGTAGACCCTGAAGTGGTTCAGCCTGCGGTCATCGCGTTCTGGGTTGACCTGGAGAGAAGGCAGGAGTTAGAAGGAAGCCTGTGGGGAAGGCGGAGAGCCCTGGGTTTGAAGTCTGATGCCCCTGGGCTTGAATCAGGCCCCATCCTCCTGATGTATGGCCACTGGTGGTTTTCCTTGCTACTCTGTGGAACAACTTTTATGTCAAAAGAGTTGCAGGACTGAATGAGAAAAACCGATGCAAACGTGCTAGCTTCACTGTCCCACTGCCTGCGTCGGAGGTGGCGCCTATGCACCTTCCCCACTGGAACATAAGCTCTGCGAGGGCAGGGCCGTAGCTGTTGAAGTCACACATCCCCAGCACCTAGAACAGTTCCTAGCACACCCTAGGGACTCAGGACATATCTGCTGAGTGAAAGAATGAATGTTGTTGAAGTAGTTACCCGGAGACCAGAGTAAGGGTGAGCACTGATACAGAATCTCACAGAAGCTACTCTGTGCGATTAAAGGATACATTGCCACCAAATGTTACTAGGAGACCGGAGGCTAAGAGGTATTTACTGAGCGTGGCCCGTGGGAGCCTGGCCTGTACTCTAAGAAAATCAAGAATAGTGAGTTAAATTACTTGTGCTTTGAAATAGTTTTCTCAGTTGCCTACTGATCTGACTTGGATGATTTTCATCACAACCTTCCTCTTCCTTTTCTTCTTTCACTCCAAGTCAGACACCTCCCCGCCATGCTCCTCCTTCCCCTTGAGCATTCGTCTCTTCCCCAGATGCCCAGCCGTGCCTCTCTCTCGTGGGCTCGGTGGTCCTGAAGGTGGTCAGGCTCTGGCTGGAGTCCTCTCCCCACCTCCTGGTCTCCTCTCTCCAGGGCGATGCGCGTTTCTGAAGAGGAGCTGTTGCAAATGAGCAGCTTCTTGCTCTCCTCCTCACTGATAAACCCTGACTTACTGAGCCATTTATTCCAAGGTCCATGCAGGAGCCCAGCAGCAGAGCCACATGCCCTAGACTAGAGTTGTGCAAATGGGAGGGAAGGCCAGTCCCCTGCAGCAGAAACAGAATTACAGGGTGTGTGGCACTCCTGGGAAGGGAGCACACTTCCCTTTACTCAGTGGATGAAGACAACTGGGATCAAGCCAAGGGGCCAAGAGAAGCACCTGCTGGTCCTCGGTTGTCATGGGCATCATAGAAGCCCACATTTATTGAGCACTTACAACGTGCAGGTACTGTCCCAAGTAGTTTATATACATGGTTTCAGTTAATCTTCACAACACATCTTCAAGTATTACTATTATTATCCCATTTTATGGTGGATAAATGGAGGTTGAGAGGTTCATGTCACACAGCTAGAAAGTAGTGGAGCTGGGGTTTGAACTCAGGCTGCCCAGCTCCAGAGCCATCATGTTACACTAATTTGCTGAGTTGAGTTGAATGCTGCCACAGGAGGCACTTGGCAGTACAGAGGCACCAGGGGGAGGTGCCAGGGGGCGGAAGTCCCTTAATGGGACTTTATGGAAGAAGTGACTCCTGAGCTGCCCTGAAGGATGACTAGTCCTTCAAGATGAAGACTACTTGCTGTCCTTGGAGTATGGCTGGCATCAGGGGACAGGCTGCAGGGCAGTAGATATAAGGACAGAGGGTGTGAAAGGTCTCAGCGATATGAGGTAATGGAGGAAGTCTTGATACAGCTGAGGAAAGGGGTCTCTAACCTCATATCATGCACAAAATACACAGATGGGCTGAAAGCCAAGTGTTAAAAAAAAAACGACTACTAGGGAAAAACAGAAGGATAGTTATTTGTTCAGTAACTCTGGGTGTTCAGTGTATTCCTAAGCAAGGCACAAAGCCCAGATAATGTAATGGACAAGATGAGCACATTGACTCTTTAAAAACTAAAACCTTCAGTGTGATAAATGACACAGAGTTAAAAACAAGTGTGGCAGAAAGTTCTGCAAGTTGTCTGTACAAAATTCTGCATTTCTTCCTTGGCAACAGAAGCCCATCATTCAGGGTGAATGTGGTAAAGATTCCTTCCCCAGGCTCCTGGCAGGCTAGAGGTGCCCTTCCCATCAGATGAGGGGAGCATTGTTGCTTACATTCCCATTTTACAGATAAGGGACAGAACCTAGAGGTGTTAAGTGACATGCCCGAGACCACCATACTAATAACTGGTAGAGCACAGTGCAGCAATCTGTCATCAGCAACCTTTGTTTAATCAACACTTGTGTAGTATTTAGTGTGTGCCAGGCACTGTCCTAAGCACCTCCCAAATACCACCTCATCAATCCTCATCACAACCTTACGAGGAAAGCATGGGAGTATCTCCTTTTAACAGCGAGGCAACTGAGTCATAATAGAGCTTCATAACTTACCCAAGCTCACACAGCTGGTAGTGGCAGCCAGAATTCAAACTCAGGCTGTCCAGCTCCGCATCGTGTCTCTTAGCCACCGCCTCTGTTGCCCCTATGCTTCCTAAGTAAAGGAGCCACACTTACCAAGGGCTCTGAGTCCCATCCAATTTCTTGGCTTTCAGTCTGTGTCTCCACGTATTTCTTTCTTGGTCCCTGGGCAGCATGGTGAATAAGATTCAGAAACCTGTCTGGCAGATGAGGCATGAGTTATGAAGGAGTCAGGTTTTGGGGCTAAAAAGAGGTCTTGTGCCCTTTACTCTGGCCACTGCTTCCTCAGAGGCAGAGCACCTGGCCTCAAGGTCCACCTAGGCCTTGTGACAGGTGTCTGGTTCCGCCACTCATTATTCAACAAATACTTGTGGAGCACAAACTGTGCCAGGTGCTGTTCTGGGTCCTGGAGGTAGAGCGTAGTGAGACAGACATGGTCCCTGCTCCTGGAGCTTGTGGTCCAGGTGGGCAGACAGGGGACCCAATATACAAGTATACAAGCAAACCCAGTGGTGGCAGACAGTGATGCAGGCTGTGAGGAGGGAGTTGGCACGGCGTGCGGGGATAGCGTGGCTTCTTAGACAGGTGAGGGGGACCTCTGGACACCTAGAAGGGGCCAGCCCTGAGAAGGAGGCAGAGGCAAAGCACTACATAGGCAGCAAGAACAAAGGCCCTGAGGTGAGTGGGTTCAGCCAGTGGCCAAGAGAATGAGGAGGAGGGCTGTAAGAAGGGAGGTCAAATCCCTCTGTACCGAAATAACTATGGCTGCCAACACCAGGTATATTTGTAACTCCATAGCTTAAGGACTTAAAAATATTTCATTTTCAATTTCTCCCGTATCAAGTCCCAATTTGGGAGAGGCGGTTTGACAACAGGAAGAATCTGGGCTTTGCAGTAGACATTCCTGGCCCTTCCACTTCCAGCCTGACAGGTGGTTTACTTTTCCAGCCTCGCTTTGCTCTTCCGTAAAATGGGAGGGAAATGTCTACCTCAGCAAGATGACTGAGAATGGAAGGAAGGAACAAGAATAAAGGACCTGGCATCGGGCTCAGTTTATTCTTAATACAAGGCAGCTAGAAATAAACTCCTGGCTTTTTGATACCACAGATATTGACCTTATGTTCTTAATATTGCTGTTAGTTTATTCACTTGTCTGTCTTCACTATGCTATGAGATCTTCCCTCCACCTACCCCCAAGCCCCCACACACAACTTCCCACCTTGTCCTCTTATATAAATTTTTCTTCCATCAAAGTCTACTCTAAGAAGGTAGAGGGAAGGAGGAAAGCTTGCCTAGAAGGATTAAGCTTTCCAGCAAATACCTCTATTCTTTCATTCCAAACATGACCCCTGTCCCCTGGATTTTGCATGCATGCCAAACCTCTTGCAGATGTCTTTTGTTTCTGTGCCTTTCCTTTTAAGTCAGAATGTCCTTGCATAGTCTTCTCATTGACATATTCCACTTCACCCTGTTATCACCTCCTCCAAGAAGACTTCCCAGAACTCTACTGTCTGACTTAGGCACCTGTTTTCTGTGCAATTGCCCCCAATCTTACTCTCTACTTATTTGTCTACTTACTACTCTGTCTCCTTCACTACAGTATGAGCTCCCTGCCCTCTAGCCCATTACAGTGACTATCACAGGGTAATAATGAAAGTAAGGACATTTCCTGATCACCATGTACCAGATATTTGTGTTTGATGCACTTATTTTATTTAATCTTCACAGTGACCCAAAGAGAGATGCTCAGAGAGGTTTAAAAACTTGCCCAATCATGCTTCCTATGAACAAGAAACTAACTCAAGTGGTTATCTAGGAGAGTGAAGGAAACAGAATTTTCACTATTTTATGTCATTCTGATTTTTAAACTACGTACATGTTTTGCCTATTAAAAATAAAATTAAGTCTTTAAAAAAAAACTTGCCCAAATTCACAGTTTAATAAGTGCCAGAACCAGAATTAGTATGAACTTACTATGACTCCAGAACTTGTGCCACTGACAGCTAAATGCTGAATGACTGAATGAATGCAAATGAAGGCCATTGGGAACATTTTTGTTGGCTTGACAGTTAGTAAACTGGTGGTATGGTTGAGCTTGCCAACCTCTTGTGGGCTTCATTAGTTTGTTTCTACCCCATGGCTCCTATTAATCATGTGCCCAAGGGACATGAGCTGGGGGTCCAGTTTCCAGATAGTCAAAGCAGAGGGCTGATGCTCACCCCAAGGTAACACTACCCTGCGAGGTCTCTCCAGCCAACTGCCTCTTTGTGCTCTATCTCACTGGTATCTCAAACCTGGGCTTACCATCTGCAGGTTCCTCCAGGTGATCATGCCAAGACATGGGCTTTCTGGTAATTGTGTGAACTAGAGAAGAAAAAACATCACAGGTTCATGTTAATACACTCACTCCCTGCTCTAAACACTGGCCTGCTCTAAACACTGGCACTGGCCATATCTAGCTACCTGAATTTGAATAATTAAAATTAACTGTGACCAACAATTCATTCCTCAGTCATACTAGCTACATTTCAAGTGCTCAATAGCCACATGTGGCTAATGGCTACCATTTTGGGCAGCACAGATAGAGAACATTTTCATTATTGAAGAATGTTTCTTGGGACAGTGCTAGTCTAGAAGGTGTAGACAACAACTGATGCAGCCAAACAAAATTAGAGAGTGATATATATCCAGCAGGCCATGTGATACCAGAGGTGCAGAATACATAGACATCCATTCAGCTCCCATTCTATTTGTGGTCACAGACAATAAACAAATAATAATGTCAGGCAAATATAGGTGAGAATGCAAAACAATAAAGCAGGTTATGCAGGCAAGGAATTGATGGTGGGGTGTGTGTGGTGTGTCTCTGATAAAGGCACTGTGTGGGGATAGGTGGGAAGAATCCAAGAGAGAGCTTGGCGAGTTGGAGAAACATCAAGAAGGCCCAAGTAATTTGAATGGAGTGAGTTAGGTGGAGAGTAGTAGGAAAGGAGCAGAGACCACGGGGAACCAGCTGGTCTCCAGAGTGTTTTTAACCTCCAACTCCTACCAGCGAACACTTCTGAGCATGCATCTACTAGATGTACATTCATACAGTCTCTGTGTACTATTATCAGTCTATTAACAAAGAATAATTTTTTTCTTTATATATTAAAGTAAACAAAAACAAGTTCTAATATATTCTCACTCTACCCCATGGATCATATTAAACATGTGCCCAAGGACATGAGCTGGGAGACCAGAACTTTTCCTAGGAATCCTGAATGTTGCCTCAAGCTAGTTTAAACTGTTGGAATGGACCAAGTTTAAACAGAAATGGATGTTCTGAAATTGTTTTCCTGAAATTAGTGTTGGGGATTCCCAAGGAAAACCAGGTTAGTTATGAGCAAAATGATGACATTACATTTCCTGCGCTCTCACCACACACACATGGCTACTTAGCTTGACTATTGTAATCATGTCATTGTGTATCAAAACATGTTGTACACCTAAAGTATATATAAGTTTTATTAAAAAATGACATAATATTTTCCTACATAGTTAGGTTTTGGTGGACTATAGCCAATTAGGCTCAGGAGTTGGGTGAGAAGTTCTGGGTGAAGGACCTTTGTGAATGAAGTTAAAGAAGTTAGGGTGGGAAAGAAGGGAGCCTGTGGCTGATGCAGTGTAGGCATTGAACTGTTTATTCAAGGAACGGTGTGTGTGTGTGTCGGGGGGGGTAGTCGGAGGAAGCTGTGTGGGCTGCAGAGCCAGATCCACTGGGCCCTTAATGTTTGATGGGTTTAACGCCTCCTCAGAAGCTGTGGGGCCACCCAAGCTTTTACAGAGGGCTGGCAGGATCCACCTGGCCCTTTAGCACAGCTCTAGCCAGGGGTGGTGTCGGGGAGGGTCTAGAGGAAAAGAGAGAAGTTAGATGCCCACCAGATCAACCCAGGATGCGAGCAGGGCCCTGCTGAGGCTTAGCAGGTGAGGATGGAGAGAGAGGCCGACTCAAGAACTACTTAGAGGGCAGAATTCAGCCAGGAGAGATGGAGATGCCTGCCTATGCATGGTAGTGTCTGTCACTGAGGTGGGAACATGGGCAAGGGCTGGTGAGAGACATGTGAAGTAGTAAACATGACTGTGACTACTGAGATGGGTGGGGCCAGGGAGGGACAGACTGAGGATGATTCCTAGGCTTCTAACTTGAAAGAGTGAATGGTTGCTGTGTCTTTTGCTAAAACAATGTTCTCTGGAGTAACAGCAGGTAGGGGAGGGGTGCGGGATGCGCCCAGTTTTGGAACTGGTGGGTCTGAGGTACCTGTGGGTTATCCAGGGGAAGGGAGCTGAGAGGTGGCTGGCTGCCTGTGTTTGGGCTCCATTTGCAATTCTGTGGCGTTCAGGGGGAGCTGATGTTATGGTACCCGATGAGCCCACCCAAGGAATGTGCACAGTGAGAGGAGTGGAGGACAGGGCCATTTCATCAAGGGGGCAGCATGGACCCTGAGTCTACCACCCCTGAACTTGCTGAAGGTTTAAGGCACTATCAGAAACCTGAAAAAAGAAAAAAACTTAAGCTTATTAACAACAACCCAAAACACAAGCAAAACAAAACATAAAACCCTGCTAAGTATAATTATTTCCACAGCAAAGTTATAAAAAGTCTTTCAACGTTTTTTACAACAAATATATTATTCAATCGCGACGTGTGTACATTTTCATGTCTGCCATATTTGGTGTGAAGGGGGGCAAGACGCCCCCCGCAGTCATAGTTCCTGAAAGAGAGGTGAGGTCAGAGAAGCGTCTCCTGCTGTGCCCTGCCCCCCACGGCTCCTCCATCCCCCGGGGCGCCCCCCACCCCACCCTTTCCTCCATCCAGCGGCGCCTCTCACCCTTGCGGAGGGGATTCACATGATACTGAGTGTACAGTTTCTGGGTTCGTAGCTCTTTCAGGTACAATTCCCGCAAGATCTGGTTCTGATGGACCTCGTCCGGGATCACCTTCTCCTTCTGGCGACCCGCCATGCCTTCCTGGGCGTCCGCTGCAACTCGCTCCCTCTGCGCTCTTGGCACTCGCTGGGTGCAGGGCCAAGGGCCGTCTCCAGGCAACGGCGTCCCACGCTGTCTCCAGGCAACAGAGACGCAGTTCGCGCCTCCCTTAGACCACCTTCCGGCCGGCCATCCCCACTTCCCAGAATCTCAGCGCGCCGCCCTCTCCTTCCGCGCTGGACTCACCTTCCTCAGCTTCTCTGGACCAACCCTGGGTACCGCCGGAAAAGGGAAAGGGCTGGCCGACCAGTGACAGACCCAGGGGGTAATGGACTTACGATGGGATCTCACTTTGGCCAGTCATTTCCTAAAAAAGATTTTGGAAGGAGTCAGAAACCTCTCCCACTTTAAAGCAGATGCCCACAAACTGAAACCTCCTATTGTCTAGTTCACAAACCAGCGGAGGTTTCACATCTGAGAGGACCTTCTGATCCGTATCACCCATGTGAGAATATAGACAGAATAGCCCTTTCCTAATCTAAGTAACTCGGGGACTTATTTATTTGTTTATTTAAAAACTTTTTAATTGTGGGAAAATAACCTGAAAATTCTCACCTGAAGCATTTTTTTTTTGAGAGGGCATCTCTCATATTTATTGATCAAATGGTTGTTAACAACAATAAAATTCTGTATAGGGGGGTCAATGCTCAATGCACAATCATTAATCCATCTCAAGCCTAATTCTCGTCAGTCTCCAATCTTCTGAAGCATAACGAACAAGTTCTTACATGGTGAACGAATTCTTACATAGTGAATAAGTTCTTACATGGTGAACAGTACAAGGGCATTCATCACAGAAACTTTCGGTTTTGATCACGCATTATGAACTATAAACAATCAGGTCAAATATGAATATTCGTTTGATTTTTATACTTGATTTATATGTGGATCCCACATTTCTCCCTTTATTATTATTATTATTTTTATTTTTAATAAAATGCTGAAGTGGTAGGTAGATGCAAGATAAAGGTAGAAAACATAGTTTAGTGCTGTAAGAGGGCAAATGTAGATGATCAGGTGATCAGGTGTGTGCCTATGGACTAAGTATTAATCCAGGCTAGACAAGGGCAGCAAGACATCCACGGATGCAGAAGATTTCTCTCAAAGCAGGGGGGGTGAGGTTCTGAGCCTCACCTCTGTTGATCCCCAAATTCTCACCTGATGGCCCCCCTGCGACTGTGCCTGTCTTAGGTTGTTCCTCCCTTGAGGAATCTTACCCGTCTCTGGCTAACCAGTCATCTTCCGGGGCCATACAGGGAAATGTAAAGTTGGTAAGTGAGAGAGAAGCCATATTGTTTGCAAAGGTTAGCTTTTTACTTCTTTGCAGATTTATGCCCTGTGGCTTCTATGCCCAGCACTTGTCTCGAGGTATCTTTACCACCTGGAGGAATTATGATACTCGGTAAATTCGATATGAGGCACGAATTCTATTTAAGGGTTGTAATTAGGAAGGAAGAAGAAAAGCTATAGATGTAGCATATGAAGGAAACTTGGGAGGATTGATTATTTCTTTGACATATCTTCTTGTATAGTACCTTAAGTATGTATAGGTTTTAAACTACTAACTAATTTGCACACACATATTAACATAATAGGAATACGGTGACATAAACAAAGCAAATCTATAATTACCATTCATCTCCAGTGAAGCCAAGAAAACCATTTAGGCACCCTAGGCGTTTGTGAAAATTTGTCTATGATATGATGGATATTGTCCAACTGTACTTGAACAGTCTGAGAGAAATAAGACAAATTAAAGCAACCCATTTCTGGGATCTGTTGCATTTTTAAATATATAGCTTGGTAGTGTCAAGTATATTCCTATTAGGTGAAACCGATCTCCGGAACCCTTTTATACCGATCAAATAGCGACTCTCCACTTCCTTCTCCCCTTAGCCTCTTGACGACCACCATTTCACTTTCTCTATGAGTTCCACTACTCTAGGTATTTTATATAATAGAGTTTATTTAAAAAGAGCCAAAAAATAGGCCTAGCCTAAAGATAGGAGCCATCTCTGGTTTTGGCAAGCACATAAACTCTGACTCCGAAGCTGTGCTCTTCCCCACTGTGTACCTCACTCATTCATCATTCATTCAAAGCACAGGATGTCCCAGGATGTGCTCAGGCTTGGGGACAGTGTTGGCATGTCAGTTGTGTGGGCATGTCTGCAGTTCCCTGAGTCCATCATGCTCCTTAATGATGCCTTATTTTAGCTTCTGCTACTACTCTTTGGCCTGGAAGGTTCTTTCCTCTGTTGTCTCCTGTGCAGCACCTACCTAATGTTTATAATGAGTTCACATGTAATCTTTCAAAAACCTTTTTGTTCACTATAGCCCCTAGTCAAGTTTTTCTTTGTGCCATGCTCACCCCAAATTTATACTTACTAGAATACTAAACTTACTTGTTCCTATCTAAGTTACTTGAGAACAAGAAATATATATGATCTTTCTCTGCATTACCAGCACCTGGCATAGTACAGATAATTGTAGGTATTTGGTAAAGGTTTGCTGGCTGACTAGATGTCTAACCAGTTAGTACTGTGATTTTCTTCTGCTTATGTCATTACATGAACCCTTGCATCATTCAGAAATACAGATTTCATCACACCCTGGCTGAGCTGGAGAAGCACTATGTTACTTGTCATTATGAGCCATGCCTGGACCCCTTTTCCTAGCAAGGCTCAAACAGCTTCAAGTCTTTACTGCCTTCCTAAGTCTAAGAAGACAAACCATCATTTTGCTGCAGAGCCACACTGCTGCTTGGGGACAACTAGTGGGACTGTCCCTGTCAAACTTCAGCCTTGGCCCAGTGGTCCAGAAGCCCTTCTTCCACACAGGGCTTTGAACATACTCAGTTGTTCCACAAGTAGCTTAACTGCCTGCTAGAAAAACTTCTAACACCTTTTAAAGCAAGACAACAAAATCTGAAAGTTATAACATAATATTCACAGGGGCAGCATCAATTAAAACCAGTTGGGAAAGCAGACAGTTGAAGAAGTAGGAAAATGTGACCCACAGCCAGGAGAAAAATCCAGAGACAGAAGCAAAAATGACAGATCATGGCCTTCAAGGCCTTTAAAAAAGCTATTATTCATCTGTTGAAGATTTAAAGGAAACATTGAATTAAGAGAGAAATGTAAGATGAAAAAAAGAACCAAATGGAAATTCTGGAGATAAAAATATATGAAATTAAAATTTCACTAAATAGGATTAATAGCTTACTAGACACTGAAGAAGAAAAAATCAGTGAAGTTGAATTTCAACAGAAACCATTCAAATTGAAGCACAGAGAGGAAAAGGCGACAAAAATGAACAAAGTTTCAGTGATCTGTGGACAAGTGCATGTCTAACATATGTCTAGCAGGAATCTCAGAAAAGGAGAAACATGAAAAAGAATCCATAGATCCAAGAAGCTCAATATAGCCCAAGCAGAATGAATATAAAGAAAACCCACACCAAAGCACATCATAATCAAATTGTTGAAAACCAGTGATAAAAGCATCAAGAGGGGAAACATATAGATTATGTACAGAGTAACAATATTCACAGAACTCTCATCAGAACGATGCAAACTTGAAGCCAGTAGAATTTTATTGAAGGGTTGAAAAAATAAATGTCATTCTAAGATTCTGTAATCAGTGAAAGAAAATCTCCCTTAAGAATGAAGATAGAATAAAGAATTTTTCAATTAAAGCCAAAGCAGTGAGAATTCCCCATCAGCAGTTCTGCCCTATAGGAAATGTTAAAGGAAGTTCTTTGGGACAAAGGAAAATAATAACACAAAATTTGGATCTTCACAAAGGAATAAAGAAATGCCAAAGGTGGCATGTAGGTAAGTACAAAATAATTATTTTCATTTCCAATTTCTCTCAAATATAATTGGATTTTAAAGCAAAAATAGCAGTGTATTGTAGAGTTTAAAATATGCAGAAATAAAATACATAGTAAACACACACACACACAAAACAGAGGGGGACTGGAAATATACAGATGCTATATATAATTTGGTATATTATTTGAGTGTAGACTGGAATAAGCTAAAGATGCATATTGTAAACCTTACAGAAGCCACTAAAAATTTAAGACAAAGAAGTATAACTAATAAGACATTAATAAAAAAATGAAGATAATACTAAGAATCCCAATTAATCCAAAAGGAGACAAGAAAGGAGAAAATAAGGAACAAAAGAGAGAGATGTTACAATAAACAACAAATGACAAAATGGCAGACTTAAACCCAACCATGTTAATAGCCATATTGAGTGTAAACTACTCCAAGAAAAAGCAGATTGTTGGACTGGATAAAAGTAAGACCCAACTGAATGTTATCTACAATAAACTGACTTTAACCTAAAGACACCAAGAGATCAATGGTGAAAAGTTAGACACAGATATACCAAGCAAATATGGATAATGAGAAAGCAGAAGTGGCTATATTTTTCAGACAAAATAGACTTTAGGAAGAGGGAAATTACCAGGTATAATGAGAAATTTTTCAAAATGATGAAAGGGTCAGTCCAAGTAGACTTAATTCTAAATATATGAATCTAGTAACAGAACTGGAAAACACATGAAGCAAAAACTTGCAGAACTGAGAAGATAGACAAGTCCACAATTACAGTTGGAGATTTCAACATTTCTATCTAAGTAATTGATAAAGCAAGTAAACAAAACCGGTAAGTATACAGAAGACTTGAAGACACTATCAACTAATTTATCTTTAAGGTTGGTATTAGAAAGGAACCAAAGTACAGTATTGATGAATGAGGCTTCTACCTTAGGAAGCTAGAAAAAGAAGAGCAAATTTTAATAACAATAATAAACAGAAGGAAAGAAATAATAGAGTAGAAATCAATTACATGGAAAACATGTAAGCAATAGATAAAAGTCAATGCAACTAAAAGCTGGTTTGTTGAAAATAACAACAATAAACTTCTAGCTATACTCATCAACAAAAACAGGAGAAATAAAACCCCATGAAGGACCAATATAACGAATAAATGTGGAACACCACTGCACATCTTAGAGATGTCAAGTGGACAATAAGGTAATGCTACCAAGAAGTTTGTCAATCAATTTAACAACTTAGATGAAATAACTTCTGTGAAG